GTGTAAAACCGAAAAATAGGGTTTATTGCAGATATTCATTAAAGCCACGTTGTGTGATCCAGCTATTAACAATAGTTGGCCGTTTTATGTCCTCCGTTATGTTATCAATAGAAAAAAATATGGTTGAACAGTTAAACTATTCAAATTTGATTAATGTTTTTGCCTCTAAAACAGCGAGATGAATAGTATTTAACTGATTGTTTGAACTTTTGTCGGTTTTGTTACTTTATAATATATATATAAATCTTTTGTGTTGTTCTATTCTTCAATGTTAAGTTAGCAATACGTTGCATAATGCACCGTTAGATTTTGCATTTACGTTGATCTCCAGGGGCCCAATTTTGAAAGTTCGCCTCGTGCCCCGAAAATGACAGGGCCGGCACTACCATTAGACATAATGAATTGGAGAAAGAATCACAAGAAAAGCACTACTCTTACTTAAAAAATTCACTCCAACTATGTATCTTCCTCTGATATTTTCAGTAATAAACTCCTATATTTTTTCTTAAGTTGGTCAAGAAATTGCATTATGTTTTTTGACGTCAACAGTAGCCAAATTTTGCAAATATTTTTGGATACGAATTCACATTGGTAAAAGCCTTGAAGGCCAGTGATTTGGATGTTCAAGTTGTCATATTGACATTGGTTGGAAGATGCTCAGGTTGTTATATTGATTGGTTGTTGAAACTGCTTCAACACTAGAAGAAATAGAAATAGATCGTTCAAGCAATTTGGAAAGTGAAATGAAATTCCGTTTAAAATCGGGAATATAATAAACATTGTCTAACAATAAAAATTTATTCTTCAGAAAAGAAAGTCAAACTGTTCCTATAGTCGTCGTATCAACTTTGGCATTATTCCCAACTCTCATTTGGAAAACTCCATCTTCAAGATCTGTGGACGCTCCAACATTTGCAAAGAAGTAAAAACATGGTTAGATGTCCCTAAATCAATTATGTAGTTTGAGAAATGTTTCTCAACTAAGCATGTTTCCATGACTAGTAAATCCGATTTACCTTTCTTCTTCTGTTTCAGCTCATCTAGGTACTTCTTACAGTTCCTCTTCCAATAGTCATCTAGGTTGTAATGGAAACACTTTCCCTTGGGCTTGGCCTGAGCAGTATTTGTCTTTTTCTTTTGGATCTCCAACATAGTTTCATGACATGTAAATTATTTTTCGCATAGAAAATAAACATCACTAGTAGAAACCATTTTTGAAGTAACCTGACCAATCAGCAATTCTTTTTGTCTTCCAGTCTCGTCATTTTATCCCAAGAAGATATACCCAAGCATGATAAAAATGACCAAATAGAATACCATTGTAGAAGAGAGATGCAATTTGCAATGATCCATCAAAAATAACAAGTGCGAGATATTTGTAGTAGCTAGACTATTTAGTCAGAGGTCTAGGGAAAATAAATCTCCAGCACCATTTTGCATAAGCCGGAAATAAAGCCAAAAGGATGTGTGAGGCTTAAAGAAAATCACTCCCAAATCTAATTTCGTGTGAAGATAACGAATTTCGAGCCCAATCAAATTCAAGTGGCAGCTAACTGTGTCATGGAAGATAAATATAGGAATGGGAATAACTCCAGCCATCCCAATCAAATTTATAAGCTTAGACGAGCTAAAGCGTTATGAGGCCCAAATAAAAATAAATTTCCGCGGTCCAACTTTTTCATAATAACTGGCAGTCCATTAAAGAACCCAAGTGGCAAGAACTTTTTAGGGGAAATTAGGCCAGTTACTTCAAAAATAAAACAAATTAGATTAATACGCTTTAACCAAATTAAAACCTTTAATCGCCGTAAATAATACGTCCCAAAACCCCAAAAGCCCCAAACCAATAGATTACAAAGAGAAATCCCCAAATCGTCCCAAAACCACGGATCCGTCGTTCTTGATAGGTGGGGCGTAGGGCTCGAGACTGTTGAGATGGTGCTGGTGTTGTTTCCTCGGTATCTTGAACAGTGGGTGGTGCTGGAGGGCTCAGGTCAGTCGGTGCAGGTGCTGGTGCATGATGATGTCTGTGCCTGTGTCGGTGCTTATGCTTCCTTTTCTTGTGCATACCAGATGCTGATGCAGGTGAGAGAACCAAAACCTGGTGCTGGTGCTGGGGCTGGTGATGCAATAGGTGGTGGTGGTGGTGGTGGCATTGGCGTTGGTGGTGCCGTAGGTGGTGGAATTGGTGGGGGATTGTGTGTGCGGGAGTGGGTGCCTTTATTGTTGGGGCTGGTGTTGGTGGAGGCTGTTGGACAGGTGCAGGGGATGCTTGTGGTGGAGGTATAATCGATGGAAGTTCTGGCGGTGAAACTACTAGTAGTGGAGATGGCTGCTGGTAGAAGTGTTGGTAGTGGAGATGGACTTGAGGTGGCTAGAGATGGCTGCTGGTGAAAGTGCTGGTAGTGGAGATGGCTGCTGGTGGGTAGGATGGACCTGATATGGCTGAAGCATTGTGCAAACACAAACAATAAAGTAAAATATAGATGGCCAAACAAGCATTTAGTAAACTGTATCACTTTTTTTAAAAAAGTGACAATTTTATCATTTTTTTGTGTGTTCGTAATTTTTTTGAGTGTTTGTCACTTTTTTCCCCACTTTCCTGAATTTTTTTTCATTTTTTATTGTTTGTTATTTTTTAAAAATTTCTATCACTTTTTTGAATAACAAACATAGGTTTTGATTGGTGTTTTGTCACTTTTTTAAGTATTTGTCACTTTTTTTAGTGTGTGTGTCACTTTTTTTGAATTATGTCACTTTTTTTTGAGTTTATGTCACTTTTTTTGAAAAAGTAAAAAAGTGACAATTTTTATAAAAAAGTGACATTGTGTCACTTTTTTCATTTTACACAACATTTTTTACTTCCTAAAAACATTTCATATGATTTTTCAAAACACTTCTAATTTTAGAAGTTTTTTGTAAATACCCCAACTTTTTATATACAAGAGTGGCCCAAGAAAGTAAACTAGTGGGCCAGTTTTATATCACATTTGGCCCAACATGGCAACACGTGAGCTCATCATTAAAAGGGAAAATTAGGTCCAGTACGGCCTTTAAAAAGAAAAATTGAACAATACTCTAAATTAATATTTTTTCACTAAACCTTTAAATTAACAGTAATTAATACGCTAAAAAAACCCAAACTTGATGAATAGAAGTCATTTTGCTAAAATAACAAAACACTAACCCTCCCTGTTGAAGAAGAAGAAGAAGAAGCCAATTTTGTCAAAAAACAACACCGAATAACAGTGCCACCACCATTAGAGACTCGAACCATGGGTGAAGAAAGCGTTGGCACCATTAGAGACTTGAACTGTAGGTGAAGAAAACGCAGACACTATTCTAACTTTATTTAGATTTTTAGGGAATTTTCGTGCTTTGTATGTGTGTTGTATGTATATGGATTTCCATACTATGTCCCAATTTTGATGGGTATTTATAGGGTTGTGGCAGCCATTTTTATGATTTTGGAGTTTCATGTCATGCTGCTATACTAATTCTTTTTTCATGGTCATTATTGGATTCTATGTATCAATTATGCTGCCAATTTGAGGGCACTCTATTTTCATACCCCTTTCTTGTGTTGGATTCCACCTCCAATTGATGAGATGAACAAAGCAGGTGTTGTTCCCTAGTTTGTGGAGTTTCTTAAAATGGTACTTGTGCCTCAGCTGGAAGTTAGTTCTACGTGTGGATTTTTTGTTTTGTGTTAACTACAATGTCTTGTATAGACAAATCGAAAAATTGAATTCTAATATTGAAAAGACGGGAATTTGAAGGGTGTTTTTGGCTTCTATTTTATTGGTTATGGGATGAAGTTCACTGAGAAAGATTTGTCTTCGAAGGGAAAATCCGGATGAGAAAACAGTGAATTAAATGTCTTTTTGCTCATGCCTTCTGGTTTTGTAGATGAATTCTCCAGCTATCCATGATTTATGGGTATGAAAGGGCACCTACGAATGACTAAAATGCCTTGATGAAAGCAATTGCAAATATGCCGCAAACACTATCATTTTGTAACGAAGATTCGTCGTTATAATTCGCATTTGTCATCGCTTTCTATAAATCCCAGCCTCTATTCTCCCCTAGTCTCTAAACCAATTTTAACCACCTAAAAACATATCCTGTTCACCATTTTCTCTCTCTGCCACGAATTCCCATTTCTTAGGTAACCATCTTCTTTTCTCTATAATTCCAATGGAACCCTATATTTCAATTTTCTTGATTGCTTTTCTATGTTATTACTAATCTATTGGTCATGAGAATCCTATTTTCTTTTGTTTCTTTGAAATGACTTCAACCAAATTTGCCATGAATGTTTTGTTTTCGACTGATGTTTTGTCACTTTTTCGAATGTTTGTAATTTTTTTAAATGTTTTTCACTTTTTTTTATCACCTTTTTTATTGTTTGTTACTTCTTTATTTTTAATTTATGTCACTTTTTAGTGACAAATATCACTTTGTAACAAAAGTGACATTGTATTTCACTTCATTTTTTAATGAAAGAGATATTATATGTCGTTTTTTTAAATTAACTTGCAGTTGAGGCATTTTTGAATAACAAACATAGGTTTTGATTAGTGTTTTGTCACTTTTTTAAGTATTTGTCACTTTTTTGAGTGTGTGTGTCACTTTTTTTGAATTATGTCACTTTTTTTGAGTTTATATCACTTTTTTGAAAAAGTAAAAAAGTGTGAATTTTTATAAAAAAAGTGACATTGTGTCACGTTTTTCATTTTACACAGTATTTTTTACTTCCTAAAAACCTTTCACATGATTTTTCAAAACATCCCTAATTTTAAGGGTATTTTTGTAAGTACCCCTCATTAAAATAGGTCTGATTATGAGGATCTGTTTAGTATATTTTCGTGTCGACCCATTATTAAATTATTTTCAAAAGTCTTTAACACGAGGTAAGTTGTCCTTGATCACATTTAATGTTTGACCAAGTGATAGTACCATTAGGTTGCTTGAAAAAGTAACAAAAAGTAATAATAATGTGTATTTCATGGCCCCTCAAAAATTCAAGTTTCCTTTCTACTTTCCGTAGTAAAGACTACAGCAAACAAAAGTAGCTGATGTATGTTGCCATTTAATGTCTGACCAAGTGATAATACCATTAGGGTTGGAGACTTTATCGAAATCGGCACGTGATTGCCGGAGGCTGTAATATGCAAGTTACCACCACGGTAATAACTGGTTAGCAATATGATCCATTTTTATATATCAAAATGAAGAAGACGTAGTTGGAATGAAATTTTGGAGTGGAGTTCTTAAGTCGACCGAGCATATTTCCTTTCGCAGTAGTTTTCCTTTACCCCACTTTTGTGCATACAGTTGGGGATAATTTTTGTGAAGTGCTAGAATAACAGTGGCTTCTTCAATCCGTGACCATGATGCCCTCAGAAAAAAATTTAATTTGCTCATCNAAAAGTTGCTCAAGCATCAAAAATTGCTCCAACCAACTTCTCCTCCTTACATAAAGTAGCTCTTTGAATCTTGAAATTCTGGTCCGCAGTTTTCCAGTAGTCTTCTTCCTTTATTTTGGAAATTTTGGTCGGCTTTTTCTCACATTTTCTTTGTGGTTGATAGTAATCGATTCCCGTAGACGGCGCCAATGATTATACCAAAAATCGTCATATATTGATTCTCAAGCTTAACGATTGAGGATGATCATGAACGAAATCTTCGATACCTGAAACAAAGGCGTCAAGGTGTGTCATCGTTGCCCTTCCAATACTTAAGTCAACGAAAGTGGAAAAAATATTTTGAAGACTATAAATTGAATGTAAAACATACCTGAATAATGAATTGTCGTCATATATTTATAGAGTATGTGGTACACTCCTAGTAGGGTTAGGTTATTGGGTATCTTATCCTTTTTAGAGTTTTAGAATGTGTTGAAGTTCTATTAGGATATGTTCTAGTGAGATTCAAACTTATCGAAATTGGATAAGTTTGAAGATGGAAGTAGAGTCCTACTAAAGTTGTTTTTTGAGGTAGAGAAAGGGATAAACGTAAAAAATCGAGATGACGCGAAATCGTCACGTGCAGCAATTAAGCTCGAGGATGACACCTTGGGTAAACTCCCTAGATGATTGGAAACAACTTTGGGCATTGTTGTTCAGGATTGATAAAAAATGACCATATCAGGTATCAACATAATAAAATTTCCAAAAAAAATAGTATAAGAAGGGTTTATTATAGCACAGTATTAGATGAAAATCCCAGCAGCGAATACCTGAGGCATTCAATTTCAAAGAAACCATAGAGTCAGATTCGACATCCTTGATTTTTACATTTAGAAGCTTAGAATTTAGGGATTTGAGATGAATGTAATTCACGAAAGATAATTCTCAACATAATCATATGTTGAGTCTTTGTGTTCTATTTATTTGTACAGTAATAGTTATAAAACAAGTAATATAAACTTGTACAAATACAAACGATATATTTTCGTAAGTACAATGATTCTTTGATTTATCAATGAGTAAAATCAATTTGATTGGTTAAATATATAGGTGAGTTGGAAGCTTAAGAATGAGCAAAGTAGAGAACGTTTTCTCACGTCAAGGACCATCTCCTAAAAAACTGGTAGATTGACTACTTAAGTGTTTTCTGTTAAACGATAAAATTTTGTTCAGTGATGGGTGAACATCGACATCTTCGATTAGTTCATAGGACCACTGAAGAAAATGATACTTAAGTTAGTGATAATAATTAAATGTACAAAACGGTTATTTGTGCTCGTGTCTAATTAACGGATCTCAGACGAGAATAAAATACATATACGGCAGGTTAGAAGAAAATACTATAGATTTATTGGCTTCTATGATTTTATATATTTCGAGAGTGAAGTTTTTTGCCTTTAGTCAAAAGACTAATAATTAGATTGGATAGTCTAGGGTCAACTACACATGATCTAATGGGTTGACAATGCTAATATACTTTTTCATAGTTTGTAGGTATATATCCATAACTTCTTGTCTATACTTTTGTAAGCTAATATTCGAGATGAAACAACTATGGAACTTCACCTACTTTTCCTATTTGTTTTCCCAAATTAGGTTTAGGATTCCTAAGATGCCAAGCTCGTTGAAGGGATGGAAGGAAAATTTCTTCTACGTGACCCTTCAGGAGCCCGAGCACCCTTTTGGCAGAGATTAGGGGTATCTCGGACATGAATAGATTTTGATGGTTTAGAGAATATTGGCAAAGGCTAGAAGTTCTCGACCGTCTAGCATATGACCTTGAAGAACTCTTTGAGGACGATATGCTAGACCTCACAA